GGTATAGAATACTATGATTAGAATAAAGTTTGGGGGGTATAGCATACTATGATTAGAATAAGGTTTGGGGGATATAGAATACCATGATTAGAATAAGGAACACCAGAATAGTACTTGTGACGAAGCATCTTTTGATCAGCCTGCTCGTAGCGCCTCTGGTTCAGGATCACCCGCCTTGGCGCGGAAACGAGAGGCACGGACTTTTTCAGACACGAGATGCCATTTTCGAGGTCCTCATACTCCTCCTCCTTCCTGCTACTCATACTCCCCTCCTTCTGGGGACCACATAGTCAGGCAGGGTTGAAAGGGGAAATTTGATAAAGGTTCTTGCGGTTCTTCCAATGTTGATCGTGCATCCTTGCGGCTGTTGATGTCTCGAATGCAGCTCCTGAGAATGCTCTTGCAACTTCTTCTCGAAATCTTGGGATGATGACTACAAGCCCGAAACCCTATAAACCCTGCGCCGTAGTCTCAATTGCCAAGGAGCTCGAGGTGGCCTGTCAGCCATGCCTCCACCTGTTTCCTGGGAATGGACAGGGTTCCTGCTAAGGTACCGCGAAGTCGACACTGCACGCCAGAAGTATCGGTGATATTGTGCTTCGAATATGACCTTCAGTACCTGATGTGTTTCTTTCTCGAAGCACAGTTTTAGCATGTCGTAGCGTGTCATGTTCGTTCCACAGAGTGCATTCCTATGAAGTTGACCTGGTGAATACGAAGCAAAGATTGAAGTGCCATCTGCAAGCTGCTTCGAAAATAAAGGTACATCCTGCCACTTCCTAAGGCCTCCATGGTCTCTAAACACAGTCAGGGAAAACCACATAAGGGAATGAATGTTACTGAGTAGTGAGGCTCCTGTACTTCTGTGCTTGGAGTGAGGGAAGTATTGGGCCCAGGTTGCATGTTACGTCAGGGCATATACTATTTTGTCGGGGGGGTGCGTTCTTATAATTATGGTAAAGTATACCCCAAAACTATACTAATTCTTAAGGCCCCTCAGTTTAGAGTAGATGTGGCAGATGGAAGTCTTCACCCTCGTTTCATGCGAGTGAGAAAAATCTGCGTTTTCCATAGAAACCCTGAACCCTAAACCGAATTCCCAGGGTTTAGGGTTTAGGGTTTAGGGTTTAGGGTTTAGGCTACTTATGATAGTGCCGGAGTTTCTGTATCTACAGTGATCCACACACACCACGTCTGTCGGTAAGCTGCTGGGGGCAGCTCCATCTTGTCTTACAAGGTCAAGGGTTTAGGGTTCAGGGATTGGGGTTTAGGGTTCGTAGATTTTGGACCAGGGTACTAGTCCCGGAACCCAAGAGCCAAGTGAGTGCAGGGCACCCTAAACCGCCCTGCAGGACCCCTATACCACACCTATTAGGAGTGGGAGCCCCCCCACCCCGCGACAAACGCCTTCAGGTTTGGATTCCACCTACAGCAACTTCATAGGACAAGAGGCTCCCAAAACGCTGAACACCCCTACTACTGTAGTCTTTCAACAGAAAGCTTAGCGAAGCAAAGCGAGCTGCTCGTCGAGATGGAACAGCTCCTGATCTGGGGCGTTGGGGCTTGGGGCGCCAGGGGTTCAGGGTTTAGGGATTTAGAGTTTTGGGTGTTGGAAGGGATGGCGATTTTAGAGTTTTTGGCTTTGCACACATGTCCCCTTCTTGTTCGTTCTTATCAGTGCTCCTATACTCAGGGCAAATGCAGCCGTTGACAGCCAGCAGACACGAAGCAACTACTGAAACCTCTACTGATTCCTGCGATATCGTAGGCTCGACTAACAGTCTTTCGGGTTCCTGGTTAGAGTCAGACCCTAAACCCTAAACCCTAAACCCTGAACAGAGTTATAGCACAACACACACCGCAACCCGGCCATCAAGCCGTATGGCAGTCCTCCGGAAGAAGTGCCCTCAGCGTGGGCCAGTACTGCTCCATGAACGCGGGCACCTTTGGATTCCAAGATCAGTTCTTTGGATGAAGCTAGTACTTGAAGTGTGCGAGTTTAAGGCTTAAGGGGTCCAGAATTGCTTGAAGGCTTAGGGTTGAAGGCTCGAGGATGCAGGCGTTTCGTGCTGAAGGGTTGAGGGTTTAAGGATAGACATCGTCTGTATGTATCTTATTCATGACATCTAAACCCTAAACCCTAAACCCTAAACCCTAAACCCTAAACCCTAAACCGTATGTATCTTATCCATGACATACCTGCTCATTCTTGCATTTACTCGTCTCTCGCTGCATTCGGTAGACAGACAGATAAATCTATAGATACATCGATTTGTAGACAGGTAGATAGACAGATAAATAGACAGATAGACAGATAGACAGATAGATAGAAAGATAGATAGATGGATGGACAGACAGATAGATAGATAGATGGATGGATAGACAGATAGATAACTAGATAGGTGGATACATAAGTAGATAGATAGGTAGATAAATAAATAAATTCAATAAATAGACAGATAAATAGACTGATTGATAGATAGGTAGACAAGTAGATAGGTAGATAGGTAGATAGATAGATAAATAGATAGATAGGCAGACAGATAGATGGATAATAATAAGACAGATAGGTAGATAGACAGACAGACAGACAGACAGACAGGCAGGCAGGCAGGCAGGCAGGCAGGCAGGCAGGCAGGCAGGCAGGCAGGCGGGCAGGCAAACAGACAGAAAGACAGACAGACAGACAGACAGACAGACAGACTGACTGACTGACTGACTGACTGACGGACTGACAAACAGATTAACAGCTAGAGAAGTGGATGGATGGAGGATGGATGGATGG